GACGACATCCAAGAACTTTTACACGAACACTCACCAAAAGTGCTGTGTGTACAAGAAACACAACCCTAATACGAAACACACCAACGTTTTTCGTAAATACGTTATTTTGCGAAAAAACCGTGAGGATGCCGTGACATCATCCGGAGGTGTTGCCATTATAGTGAATCAAGAAATTGCATGCGCACACTTGCAACTCCAAACATCCCTTGAGGCAGTGGCTGTTCGAGTGGTTCTTTTTAATAAACTGATCACAATTAGCACTATTTACATTCTTCCTAGCTATCAGCTGCAAAAACGTGATTTATACTCATTAATTGATGATCTTCTGGAGCCTTATGTTCTCCTTGGAGACTTTAATGCGCATAGCAGGTTATGGGGTGACTCTTGTTGCGACGTGCGATGTCGACTGATTGAACAGTTCCTTCTCTCGTTGAGCGCGTGTCTCCTAAATCCAAAAGAAGCAAGCTATTATAATCTCGCTAATAATACCTACTACTCCATAGACCTAAGCATGGTATCTCTATCTCTTGTGCCTCTACTCCAGTGGAAAGTCATCAGTAATCCGTACGGAAGTGACCACTTCCCCGTAGTTTTGAGCACATCCACAGCAACTGAGTGTCCACCACGTGTTACCAAATGGCTCATAAACAGAGCCGACTGGGAACAGTTTTATACCATCGCTCGTATCGGTTGGAGTGACATATGTACTTGGAGCATTGATGTAGTTGTCAACTACTTCATCGCATTTTTTATTGATGCTGCAACAAAATGCATTCCACAAACAAATGGACACCCTGGAAAACGGCGTGTGCCATGGTGGAACTCTGAATGCCGAAACGCGTGCAAACAGCAAAACAAAGCATGGAGGTTGCTTCGGAACTCACCAACGGCCGAAAATCTTCAAATCTTTAAGAAAATGAAGTCTCAGGCCAGGCGAACGCATCGGCAGGCCAGAAGAGAAAGATGGCAAAAGTTTTTATCAGGGATCAATTCATACACACAGGAGGCTAAAGTCTGGAACATAGTTGGTAAGGTAGCAGGAAGACAAACACATACTCCCACTCGTAAACACACAGGGCGACACCTTGGAAGATCAGGCGAACTTTCTCGGTGCACACTTCGATCGGGTGTCGAGCTCATCACACTATACTGACGCTTTCCAAAAATACAGAACAAGAATAGAAAAGCAGAAACTCGAACACAAATGTACTAGATACGAGGCGTAAAATCAAGCTTTCAGCTTAGCTGAGCTCCAAACATCACTGAACTTCTGCAGTGATTCCGCTCCAGGTTCTGACTGTGTTGTTTACCAAAGGTTAAAAAAGCTACGAATCGAAACTAAAAAAAACATTGCTTTGTTTGTGCAATGCTATTGGGTTTTCTGGCACTATCCCTACTTCCTGGAAAGAGGTTATTGTTATTCCCATTTTGAAACAGAGCAAGGACCCTTCTTTAGTTTCGAGTTACAGGCCCATTGTGCTTACAAGTTGCTTATGCAAACTTCTCGAAAAAATGATAAACTGCCGACTTCTACATTTCCTTGAAACGAACAATCTGCTCGACTCATTTCAGTTCGAGTTTCGAGAGAGTAGATCCACCACTAAACATCTTGTTCGTATCGAGGCACAGATCAAACGCTTTGTTCATAAGCAATTCTTCCTCTCTGTGTTCCTTGATATTGAAAAGGCATATGATACAACATAGCGCTTTGGAATACTAAGAGACCTGTCCCACCTTGGCGTGCGTGGCAGAATATTTACTATATTCGAAAGCTACATGTCAAAACAGACATTCTGAGTTCGAGTAGGCAGTGTTCTTTCCCAAACATTTGTCCACGAAACAGGCGTGCCGCAAGGTGGTGTTTTTAGTTGCACACTTTTTCTCATCAAAATGAATTCTCTGCACTTGTCCATCCCTCGCAATATGTTTTATTGTACATATGTCGATGACGTCCAGCTTGCCTTTAGATCTTGCAATCTGGCCATGTGTGAGCGCCAAGTTCAGCTTGGTTTGAACAGTCTCAAATTGGGCTGAAGAAAACGGGTTCCGTCTGAATGCACAGAAAAGCACGTGTCTCTTGTTCTCCAGGAAGAGAGGCATTCATCCTGAACCAGATATTCAACTGCATGGGCAACGTCTTTCTCTTAATACTGAACGCAAATTCTTAGGCCTAATCTTGGACGCCAAGCTAACCTTCATACCGCACATGAAGTATTAAAAAACAATTGCATAAAAGCTATGAACATTCTAAAAGTGTTGTCACGCACTACATGGGGAAACGACAAGTGTTTAATGAATTTGTATAAAAGCCTTGTACGTACCCGCCTAGACTATGGGGCAATAACATATCAGTCTGCGACACCTACTGCCCTTAAAATGCTTGACCCTGTTCATCATCTAGGCATCCGTCTCTCCACGGGTGCTTTTCGCACTAGCCCAATGGAAAGCCTGTACGTGGAATAAAACGAATGGTCGCTCCACCTACAGAGATATTACATACCTTTTAAATATTATTTTAACGTAAACGCAGACAAGTATCACCCATCACATTCCACAATTAATAAAATGTCAAGCCTTGCTGTGTTCAAAAAACGGCCTTCTTTGAGACGGCCCTACTCATTTCGTGTGAGGGGCCTAACGAAGGAAACCGGTGTGCCACTCGAACACCGTTTGATGGCTCCCGTAGTATGCCTGCCACTATGGCAGAGGCAGGCGATAGATTGCGATGTGTCTTTCCTGGAGGTTACGAAGCATGCACCAATCGCACATATGTAGACATATTTCCTTGAACTGCAACATAAATACACATGTCCTGAGTTTTTTACGGATGCTTCAAAGTCTAACGCTTCTGTCTCGCATAAGCCATCGGCCCATCATTTTTGGAAGCCGGCGTTCTGCACCCTGATACAAGCATTCTTACTGGCGAAGCTTATGCGATACTTGCAGCTGTTAAACACAATAAACAAATGAAACTACAGAAAGCAATAATATATACAGATTCCCTAAGCGTAGTAAAAGCTCCGAAAACACCTAAAAACACGAAACCTCTGTCCTTGTCTCGCTTTATTCGCTTTTATGCACAATCTACTCATCCAAGCAGCATGTCATAGTCTGCTGGGTGCCAGAACATCGTGAAATACAAGGCAATGTTCTAGTGGACCAGCTAGCTGGATCCACCAACAAAACCACTATTAACACTTTGATACCGATTCCTGAACTCGACTTGAAAGCTGTTCTAAAGCGATAGCTTAGGGGTTATTGGCAGAGCACATGGGACACACACACAGATAATAAATTGCATGTCATCAAGCCGCAACTTGGTCATTGGCCACCAGTATCAAAGTCACGCCCCACAGAAGTAATCCTTACAAGGTTAAGAACAGGACATACACATACAACACATTCATTTCTTTTGTCTGGGGGCGATCTATCTTTTTGTGATAGATGTGGAGAAGCACTCACTGTACTTCACATTTTAATCCAGTGTAAATAATTAGAAGCGCTGAGAAGACAACACTTTCCGTTACCCTACCGACAACAGATACCACTCCATCCTGCAATGTTCGTCGGTAGGGAACCACTTTTTACTCATAAATCATTGTTAGCGTTTTTAAAAAAAATTCGTTCATTTCATATCATATACCTGGGCATTCCGTACCACGACCTCTTCAGAGAGGTCTCCGCTGCAGTGGCTGCACTCAATAAAGCACTTGACTCACGGCCCTTGGACGCAAGGGTGTGAACGAGTGAGGCACTTGTGCAAATGCCATACATGTCCACCATCGTTTTTATTACAACAAAGTTTTGTCATCGATTAACACCATACACCTTTCACGGCATGGTCATGATTTTATTACTTCTATGTTTTTACCCGCCCTAGTGCGAGCAATTTTACGGCTCTTATACAGCCACTTATCACAATAATTGTCCATATCTTTAGTAATATGAACTGGCGCTCTTTGGCCATGAAATGGCCCTTGGGCCACAAAACATCAAACATCATCAAAATCTAATAAACACTACATGACAGTTTTAGATCTTATTACGGCAGGAGCTAACGTGAAGATGGGGGCTTGAATGAGTGTCATCGCTAAATTAAGTGTGTTGTTCGAGCCAATGTTTCAATAAGACAATTTGTCTCAGTTGTAGCAGCAACCTTGATGCGGTTTGCTGCCTCGGTAAAGAAAAGTTCTGTTGTCTAATAACAAGCTCTAACATTCGTTCAATGATTCCTTTTTGCATCAGGTATACATCTCAACACATTCATTACGAATCTTCAACTTTAACGAATGCTTCTATTGTAATGATACTGGGTGCAAAAATTAAGCTGCAAAAGATAAGGCATTTAGCAGGGGTCTGGCTGCTCAACAGTTTTATAACACGTCCATGACGCTAAAAATGAGCGATTCGACAAGAGGACATAGATTTACCAGAGCAGCAAACCGTATCAAGGTTACTGCCATGACTTAGACAAACATTTTTTGTTCAAACATTCAAAACAACCTAATTTTGAAAAAACTTGATTGGCTTCGAAAAAAAACTTTCTTTAATGATTTGGCCTTCATTCAAGCACCCCCCCCCCCACCATCATCTTAACTTCTGCCGTAATAAGACAACTGTCATGTAGTAATTGATAGAATTTTAATATACGGACACTAAGCCTTTCTTCTCAATTTAATGCTCACCCTTTACGTTTATGCTTTAATGACTGTCTTATCAGCCAAAGAACCCAGGGTAAAAATGTGTGAAGGCGTCTTCAATTTTTAGAGTCAGAAGTATTTTTAACTCTTGGTAAATGCCCTTAAAACAAACAATGTAATTTTATTCAGCAAGAAAAAAATCACTCTTGTAAAAAATATACAAAAAACACTGCATTTTGTAATGTTTGATTTGATTTATATGTGGGCTTTAACGTCCAACAACCACCTTATGATTATGACAGATGCTGTAGTAGAGGGCTCCAAAAATTTCGACCACCTACAGCCTTTCCGCCTCCATCGGAAATGCAGCCGCTGCAGCCGGGACTCAATCTCGCGACCTGCGGGTCATGGGCGAGTACCAATTTGCCACATTTTCTCACGACCAACATTAGCATAAATTGAAACAAAAATTATTTCGATATCATAGCCATGAAATTTTGCTGACAAAGAAACAAAGACTGCGGTAAAAGCATCAAGCAACAATCACGTGTCAGTTATTTTTCTCCCATAACTCAATTTCTGAGCACATGATTTCAAAGGCCTCTGCTGTATTAGAAAGTTTTTCCCAAATAATAGTGCTGGAACAACTTCCCACATTGAGGTATCAAAGCACCAGTTTTGGAAAACATTGCAAATGGTCAAGAAACGACTTCACCGATTAACATGACAAGACCACGAACTCACAAAGACTTACGGGTTAATGTTCAGTCACAGTTTCTGAGGCAGTCCGATGGCTTCTGTGAGTCCATCTGTACTGTCTTCCATCCGCCTTTAAGCCAGTTTTTGTAGAATATCTGCCGAGAAAACAAAAAAAAAACATTAGAAACAATTCACTTTTTCTAGCATGCCCCATGTAACACAACTTGAACACAACTTTGCTTTCTCGGCCTCATGAGGTAGCAGTCTCGAAAGCATTCTAACAGCTGCTGCTTTATGTATGTATATCTCATACCCATTAGCAGGCTCCAAAATAATGCCCAGTCATTGTTAAGCAAGAAGTCTAGCAGAAAAAAACAGAGCAACATTTTACACTAGACATTAATTTAACTTCCTAACACTCACTCAAGAACCTATTTTCCTTACGCATTATATGCATACATCTTGAAAAGACTGGGCTTGCAAACATAGCCGCAGGTGAGTCAGGACACTTCAAATGCCAACTAACAATGAGAAGGCAGACTAACGAAACATATAAGACAGTTAACCAGAGGCCCATCATTAAACCTAGAGCACTATATCACGACGTAAATACATGCCAAAATTCGAATCATGCAGTTTCGTACAAGCACAGAAATGAAGAAATGTATCTAATAATTGAGGCTTGGCACAGCGACATGTAGTACTGCATGTGTGAGCCAACCATTGAATAACTCAGCAAAGAAATCAAATGCTGAGCAGTTATCACTCACATAGACCAACAGGCATGCCATCTTGATCGATATCTCTACTTGCCTTGTTTCGTTTGTAGCTTAATGTCAACTTTTCCAGTTGGTGTTTGCGGTGTCTTGACTACTCTCTCGAGTCCATGTTTGCATGCCCTGCCTTTTTAACATGAATACCAACTTACTGAGCAGCTCACCTCTCCTACTTGAAATATGTATACAATCTAGCATTACTACTTTGTTCATTTGATGTAACAATAATAATGGGGTTCTGAATGTGAATGTCAATTCAAAAGCACTAAGGCCTCTACCATTTTTGCCTCCTTCAAAAGTGCAACTGCTGCCTTAAAGATCAAATCCACTCAGTGCGGGGGTTGTTCACATGGTAGCATAGCTGTAAGCAACATATGATAAATTTTAGGACTATAAAAAGAACTCTAAGTAAAAGCAAGGCACGCAACTATCAAGAAGCCACATATTATCCGGCCTAGAATCTATTTCTGGTAACCTTGAATGCTGTGGTGCAGGCCATGCACCTTGGCAACTGTTCAGCTTTTCTTTTTGAACTAAATCTGAGCAGAGTCAACATTGATATCTACTGATTGCTCTGAAAACAGCAGTGAAGTTGCCAAAAAGTAAAAGCCAAAAGACCGAAAAAAGCTGCACGACAAGTAAAATAATAAATACTTAATGATGCAAGTACACCTAAAACACCGTTTTAGATGCGCTGGTCGAATAGGTATTTGGCAAACAAAGCAGCAAAGCAATGAACTGCCAGCTACGTAGCTGCAAAAGTGGAGAAAGGAGGTGGCTCTAGTGCCATGAAAAATCCATGAAAGTACTATCAACTGGAAAAGCTTTGTAGCTGTTGAATCCACAACAAATGTGAATTTCCACTACGTCGGTACTTAAGACTTGTAATTAGACTGGTGACTGCATAGGTTGGAATGCGAAGTGCAGTATGGAATATTTCTTTCAAAATTACATTCTTAGACAGAGTGAGAATTTAGCTTCATAGAATATTTCGTGTCCCGCAAACTTTTGCTGTTAATGGTACATATTGAACATTGCAAAATATAAATCAACAAAGCCATGCAGTGCATAAATGGACCATTCATAATTGAAATGTAAAAAGCTACTAAACAACCCAACCGTCTAAAATTTCTGATAACTGCAAAATTGTAAAATGTGAGCACGTTTCCACAAATTTCGTGTTCGCTTGATGAAATGATGAAGTCACAGCCAATTAAACACACATTGTACCTGTTTTCAGTTTCTCACTCGGCTTCTCCATCGTTCTCATCGTGAAGAGGGGTACGCACACGTTAACATCGTAGCTACAGTCACATGACAACAAAGCATGACGTCAGTGATTGTTCAATCAACATGCAGCCATCAACTAAGCAAGGCTTCGTTGATGTGCCGCTATGCTAGATCGGCATGGTGAGGAAGTACTGTGCAAGGCAGAGGTGAGATAAAAAAAAATATGCAGCACGCCTCACAACGACACAATCTATACGGCGTAATTTTAGGGCCAAAACCCTATTTAATATTGCGAACAGAACCAACCGACAGTCAGTGAAAAATCACATCCCTTTACTAGCAAAGAGTATACACCGGTCAGGCATGAAGGGGCCACCACAATTGTTTTTCGAAATGAAGTTTCTGTGATACTCACACAATGCGATTGCTGCAGCACTCTGTATGAATTTGCAAGAATGTCTGGAAGGTGATAAAAAAGAAAGACAGGGCCAAAGCTGCCTAATGGCACTTTGAAAGAATGTAAAACATACTTTACAGAGAAATACTTTTGCAGACATATCGCTATAAGCTTTAAAACTGACAATTAACATGCTCACTCTATGCAACATAGGAATGTCTCACACCTTTGCAAGAACTTTACTGTGGTGGCTGCACTGTATGTGTAGGCCTGGCTCTCAGGCATCTGATCTGTTCGTTGAAAATAACTTGTGGCTCACATCCTTGTAGCACTGCTTTTGGGAGGTGCTTAATGCGATAACAAAAGTAGCACAACACAATTATCCTGTGTAAACACTCACATGAAATCCTTATTGGTACCTTAAAAAATTTTGAGCCATAGACTGAACCACGGCAATACTCTCTTCTGCTATAATGGAGCACATTATTGCTTTTCCTGGCATGGTTTCTTGTTTTCACCCATGAGACAATCCAGCAGAAGTTAAGCTTTAGTTGGGAAAAAAGCTGTTGAAAAGCATAACTTCAATATAAAATATAAAAAATTGAATAATTTTGCATGATATATCAAATTATATTTCTTGTAATGTCCTGCCCCCAAGAAATGAGTGAGCAAGCTGTGACGTTAAGGCGTCACAAAATAATGGAGTTTCTGGAAAATTCAATATACAGCTAAGTAATTCTGCTATTGAAATGTGCTGTTACTACCGACTCTGTAGCTGTAAGTGCCTACTGAATCTACTTGAGTGCATTTAGCAAACCGGTGTAATAATACTGGCAGACAGAGAGAACCCAGTTCTCACTTAGCTGCCCCCATCACAGCATCATGTTGCTTCACAGAAGGGTTCCTGGTATGCAGGATGCCGATGCATGAACTTTGTGGCTATGTCGTACCACAGTGAACGTGATCGACACCTGCTCGAACTTCGTGAGCAGCTGAAAAATGCTCCATTGTGCAATTAGCTGTAAGAATGCAGTATTTCTAGCTAGAAGTCGCTTGACCATATATCCACAACAAATTTTGGCACCAGCAAGGTTTCGCAGTGTATACAAGTGTCTGAACACAGTATTCAATTCTACCAGCTGCATTCTCTATTTTTATATCTAGATGAATAGAACATGCACACAGTAGTCAATAATTGTGCAGAGTAGAAGAGTCCATTTTAGGCATTCTATAAAATTCATAAACAAGAATCAGGCACATCACTCAAGCCTGTTGTTTAGCATCATAAGTGGAAGTGTGCTGGCAAACGTACACAAAACAATTAGCAATTGACCATGAAAAATAGTAAAAACTAGGTTTATGTTTGGAAGAAACAAATCGCATACAGTAAAGACAGTCTAAGACACTGCAATGATAAGGTTGTAAATTTCAAAGTGGGTCACTATTCTTCACACTATACATGCATTTACAAGAAAGGTAACAATGGTTGCTGCAAGAAACAATAAAGTTTTACAGTTTTTGCGAAGTTCCATTTGGCAGTACCCCATTCCACAGAAATGCAACACTTTGCGAAACGAAGTCACGTTTCCAGACGAAATGCACTCGCCATGATGACAAATAGGTGGAGTACTCTTCTACAGTTCTATGATTTACTAGAACTAAAAACTATGATAACAATTTCTTATTATAGCTAGCAAGAGCCTTTTTACTGTTGTTCATGTGAAGCAATTTTATGTCATTGGGAGGTCACAAGAATAAGTGCCACATACTAATGTGCGGAAAAAGCACAGTGATGGTTGTGCAGCAATTTCCAACTGCTCATTCATGGAAACCATTGCACTTCTCCCTCAAATAAAGGTTGCACATGATTAACCCTTTGGCATGAATAATGTTAAGTTGGTAGGTAGCATACATCCTGATGTTACTCTGTATACCCTCACTTATTTTGCAATACTTTCACTTCGACATGACTAGCTCAAAGCAACTCTCTTCTTCATTAAATGGAACTTTGTACATTACCTTTGAGTAAGCCACAGATGCTGAATAAGCACCTCTTATAAGATGCTTGGCTCACAGTGTGCTCAGCACTGCACAGTTCGTCAGGGCACTTCTGTTTGCTACGTGCAGTACACAGCAAAAAACTTCGGCATTCAAACAAAAACAAAGCAAGTATGGCAGCAGCATTTCGTCCTTTGGGGATAGAGAGGGAGGTTCCTCATAAGCTAGACACACATGCATTGACTGTTTTAGTTTGGCGCATAAACAGTATAAATGACTGAAAATGGTTAGAGGAGACAAGCGGTCGCATATTTGAAATCCTCCAAAGAAGGCTGAAACACTCACTTGGGATTTTTACAGTATATATTCTGTGCCATCTATAAAAAGTATGCAAAGTGCTGAATTTCACAAACACTTGCACACTATTAAGCTAACGTATTGCACTCGCTTCGCTGTCCAGCTGGTGCTTCCGAAATTTCCTGAAGTTGCACAAACAGCAAGGCGGTCTGGCTAAATTTAAGTATACCAATTTCAACAAACACCGCTGGCTTCAACTCCAAGTGACAGCACCAAATGAAGTCATTTAATAGTGGCATGCGACTAATGCTAAGTACCTAAGCGTTTGAATAAAAAATGCAAGTATATTTCAGTTTCATGTTTGATTTCTATTGTTAATTCTTCCGCGTGTCACCTATTCTCTGATGCTGGGTATCGAGATAAAGGCAAAATATGTTTAAAACATAGTATTACAAAATGTTTACCCGCAACAGTCATACTACATTATACCAAGTAGTGCTAGCAATATCACTGCAAACATTCAGAGCAATATCAACGGCATATCTCAGAGACCTTCACAGTCTTTCATTGAGCTGCAGTTAAAGACGGCAGCCACGAAATTAACTTTAAACCCTTTTTTTTTTCGGAAACCGAGCGAGCTCCAATGTACCCAATGTACCCTGTGTACATTGGAGTTATGTACAGACCCCCCTGTTCTCCTGCTACGACTCTGACCGACTTAAGATGTTTTATGGATTATAATATGCATCAGGACGACAAAATAATTTTGATTGGTGATTTCAACTTACCAGGCATTCAATGGGATTCGCATGATATTATAGGAAACGAAGTAGCTCATTGTGAACATCTTTTGGACATTGCCTTTTGTTTTAACCTATGCCAAATTGTGTCTAGCTGCACACGTGTTTTTAAGGCTGTATCCTCTATTCTCGACCTTGTATTTGTATCTTCACTCCTGGAGGAAAATGTTAAAACATGTGATGTAATCGAGGGCATATCAGATCATCAGATGGTTATGTTTTCCTTGGATATGGCATCCGCTAGGTTGCATAAGGATTACAAAAGTACACTTCTGAACTTCGCAGCTGCTGATGACTTCTCTGTTTTAGAAAAACTTGAAAACTCTTTCGATACTTTTGTTCTCCTGCAAAATTCAAATGCATGTACAAATAGACTATGGGATTATTTTTCACAGGTGGTCACTGAATGCATTAAATTCTATATTCCAACCCGACAAAAAAAATAGCAAAGAAAAATCCTTGGATAACGCGTGACGTGATCCATGCCAAAAGGCAACTGAAACGAAAACGGAAAGCTCACCGAAAGAATCCTTGCCCTGAAGGGAAGGAAACCATTGACACTATGAGCCAGGAATTGAGACGTCTAGTTAAAAATTGCAAAGATAATTTTTATAATGTTAAACTAAAAAAGTTCTTGCACGAAGCACCCGAAAAGTTCTGGAGATACGTGAATCCAAACACAAAAACCCATCTTGATGCAGATAAAGAAAACTCACAAGCAGGTGCTGAAAATTTTAATGCCTTTTTTTCGTCAGTATTTACCCACGATGACAGACAAGTACCGACTTTTAATGAGGCTTCCGACACACCTGCCATAGAAGGAATAACGATTAGTGAACAAGGAGTATTGAACCTGCTCCTTAAAAACGACAAAAAGAAAAGTGCAGGACCTGACGGAATACCAAATGAATTTTTATATAGGTGCGCAATTTGGGTCTCAAAGTACTTGACAATTATTTTCCAGTCCTCCGTAAGTAGTGGTTGCTTTCCCACTGCCTGGAAGGTTGGTAAGGTCATACCGATACACAAAGGTGGTACTACTAACGACTGCAAAAATTTCCGTCCCATCTCGCTCACAAGCACTTGTTCAAAGCTTCTCGAGCATATTGTCTCCAAGCATCTTTTGGCTTATCTAGATGTTCACAACCTATTATACTCACAGCAACATTGATTTCGAAAAGGCCTATCTACTATTACTCAGCTTGTTGAACTTGTTCATGATCTCTCCTCTGAAATTAACTCGCAAGGTCAGGTTGACATGATACTCTTAGATTTTGCAAAAGCTTTTGATAAGGTGTCCCGTGCTAAACTGTTGTTGAAAATAAACACTATCTTTAAAAACCCAAACCTAACGCAGTGGTTTTCCTCCTATTTCTCCAATCGCAAGCAGTATGTTCAAGTCAGCACGAAAAAATCTGCCCTTGCCAATGTTATTTGTGGAGTTCCCCAAGGCAGTGTCTTGGGCCCACTACTGTTTTTTATTTTTGTCAACGATTTACCTAAAGATATTACGGTCCCCATAAGGTTTTTTGCAGACGATTGTGTAATGTATAAAACAGTCAGGTCTCCTACCGATCAATCAGAACTAAATCTAAACCTCAAAAAAATACAAAACTGGTGCACCATTTGGCAGATGGATCTAAACACCGCAAAAACAGTAACGATGACCGTAACTAGGAAAAAACGCATTCTAAATACGACGTACTCTATAAACGATCATGAGCTTGGCAGAGTAGAACAACACAAGTATTTGGGTTTATTAAAAACTTTTGATCTACGATGGAATTTGCATGTAGACTCCGTTTGTGCTAAGGCTAACAAAGCGTTGTGGAGACTTCGGAGAAATCTGCACCATGCTAGCCCGGAAATCAAATGCTTGGCTTACAAGGCTCTCGTACGGCCAATTATGGAGTACGCAAAGGTGGTATGGGATCCGTACACAACAAGTAATCGCACTAAGCTAGATA